ACCTCGGGGTTATTTTAATCAATTGATGTCATTTGGTGCTCATACATCTCGATTTCTTAGCAAGCTCAGTTTATTAGAATTCTTCATTTTCTCTTCGACTCCAATTTCAACTTCCCTATCTTTCTACTGCTTCATCCAAATGGAGAACCGAAACCAGAGCATGAAAGTGCACGGTTCGCGGTTGTACACAGTGAAACTGTCGCAGGCAGATTCAGACTATGTACGTGGATTACAGGTATCGTACTAAACGATAAAGCTGAAGCATCTATGATAGATTGGATACCTGTCAGTAGTCGCTTGTGCTCCAGGGTTCAGTTAGTGTTTGGCAGAGCAGTAACACCAGAAGCTGTTTGTTTATTATTTCCGCATATGCACCAACCAACTGCAGTCCCAATTCACAAAAGGATGAATTTTACGACAAACTTGCCAAACTCATTCGTTTGAGCCGCAGCTCTGGTGTTATGGTGCTGGCAGGTGATTTTAACGCACAGGTTAGAAAACTGAGCGCATTCGAAGTTTGTCTAGGAGGACACTTCGTTCTCTCCGCCCAGCGAATAGACAACAGTGATCAATAACTTCAGTTCTGTGCGGATCATTGGTTGTTCTTATCTAGCACCAACTTTCGACAGCTCTCGTCGCACGGCTATATGGTGTTCTAGTTCAACGGGAACGTTGACCCAAATTGACCACATAGCTATAAGCTAACGTTGGCGTGGTTCAGTACAAAATAGCGGATACTATTGGACCACCTGCGTTGAGTCGGATCATGTACTAGTTCTGTTACGCTTCACTTTTCGATTCATCGGTCGTCGACAGAAATCGCCTCCTCAGTTAGCTCATCCTCGTCTTCGAGATCCAGCTGCCTGCGCACGTTATGAGGAAAAGCTGAGACAGGAACTAGGAAAACCGCGACATAACGAAGTAGACCAACAGTGGAATCAGATCAGATTTGCGATGCACTCGGCAGCCAACTTTGCTTGTGGGACCGAGCCCGAAGATGTTGTGGTACATTTGCCTTTCTCTGTAAATGGTTACGTGTTGAATAAATAAAATAATAAATTCGGCGTCTACTGGGATTCTCTATTTTCTCTTCGACTCTGCTTTCAATTTTCCAAGCTTTTTTCTACACCTACATCCAAATGGGAAGTCGAACGACAGCAACCAAAACCGGCGCACGAAAGTTTATGTTTATAGTTGTAAAAAGTAAAACTAAAACCTAAACAGGTTAACTGTCCCGCACAAATCACGGGGCTTCATCGGTCCAACTTGACATCTGTCTCCCAATTAGTCTGGAGAGAGATGTGGTCAACACATGTATTCTGTTCAAAACAATACGCTAATAAAACGTGCGATCAGTTGATCCTTAAGGTACTCTAAATGAATGTGGAGCCAACAATCGTGTTTTGTTCGAAGCTTAAAATCAAAGTTTTCTGAATCCACCTGGTAGTTTGCCAGCTTAATGCTATCGTTTCTCAAGTCCATCTCAAGATTCTGTCCATCCATTCTACCTGTTTTTGGTATGTGTTTTGCACCTTCAAAGTGTAAAATGCTACTACAAGTTTGGGCTGGTCCAGCCCCCAACCTCACTCTGACTGAAAAAGCAATAAAGTAAACATACAAATTTTGCTACCTGGGTAGCTATATCTCCCCTGCCGGACACAGATGAAATGTCGGCACGCATACAATAGGCTCGA